GGAGAATTCCGAGGAGTTGGGACATCCAGACGATCCAGGGGACATTTCCCCCCGGCTCCGAGCGCGTTTCGGCGCGGAAAACCGAATCCACACGTTAAAAAAACTCGGGATCCTCGCCGGGAGGACCCGGCCGGGCCGTGGGAGCGCCAGGAGGGGCTGGTGGGACCGCTGAGGTTTCGTTTGCCCCCCAGAGCCATCCCTTGGGAATGCCTCCGAGTAAAGCCCCCCCTCTGGTGTCCTTGTAGTGATCTCCAAAGACGGGAGGAGCTCCAAACCATTTGTCTTCACCATCCATTCCCAGCAGATGTCCCACGCCGCCCAATCCCTGGACGTGGCCGCGGACACGCAGGAGGAGCTCAGCGAGTGGGTGGCCAAGATCCGGGAGGCCACGCAGAACGCGGACGCCCGGGTGAGGATGGGAACGGGAATGGGAATGGGAACGGGAATGGGAATGGGCTGGGATGGGGATGGAGGGGCCCCTTTTCCGTGGGGATTGGCCCCGATGTCTCCGAAGGAGGAGGATTTGGGCTGGGAGCTGCCGGGACCGCGCTGGGAGCGAACGGAGTCCTGCTGGGAGTGACTGGGTTGGTGGTGGGAACAACTGGAATGGTGCTGGAGATAGCTGGGATCATACTGGGAGCGACTGGAAGTGACTGGGATCATACTGGGAGCGACTGGAAGTGACTGGGATCATACTGGGAGTGACTGGGAGTGACTGGGATCATACTGGGAGTGACTGGGATCATACTGGGATCTGCTGGAAGTGACTGGGATCATACTAGGAGTGACTGGAAGTGACTGAGATCATACTGGGGTCATACTGGGAGTGACTGGGAGTGACTGGGATCATACTGGGAGTGACTGGGATCATACTGGGATCGCTGGAAGTGACTGGGATCATACTGGGAGCGACTGGAAGTGACTGGGATCATACTGGGAGTGACTGGAAGTGACTGAGATCATACTGGGGTCATACTGGGAGTGACTGGGATCATACTGGGATCATACTGGGGGTGACTGGGTTGATAGTGTCAGCAAGTGGAACCACACTGGAGGCAGCTGGGATCATACTGGGAGTGACTGCAAGTGACTGGGATTATACTGGGATCATACTGGGAGTGACTGGAAGTGACTGGGATCATACTGGGAGTGACTGGAAGTGACTGGGATCACACTGGGATCATACTGGGAGTGACTGGAAGTGACTGGGATCATACTGGGAGTGATTGGAAGTGACTGGGATCACACTGGGATCATACTGGGAGTGACTGGAAGTGACTGGGATTATACTGGAAGTGACTGGAAGTGACTAGGATCATACTGGGTTCATAGTGGGAATGGTGGGAAGTGACTGGGATCATACTGGGAATGACTGGAAGTGACTAGGATCATACTGGAACCATACTGGGATTAGCTGGGATAACACTGGGATCCTACTGGGATAGACTGGGATTACAGTGGTAGTGACTGGAACCATACTGGGAGTAGCTGGGATCCACTGGAAGACACTAGAACCATGCTGGGGGGACTGGGATCACAACTGGGGCAACTGGGATCACACTGGGAGTGACTGGAACCGTACTGGGAGTAGCTGGGATCACAGTGGGAGTAACTAGGATCACACTGGGATTGTACTGGGATAGACTGGGATTACAGTGGGTGGGAAGTAGAACCTTACTGGGGGTTACTGGGAGCTCCTGGGCCCTTGCTGGGAGCCAACCTGGGACACACTGGGAGCAACTGGGACCAACTGGAAGATACTGGAATGGTACTGGGATCATGATGGCGTTAACAGGGAGCAACTGGGACCATGCTGGGGGCAACTGGGATCATACTTGGAATGACTGGGATTATACTGGAAGTGACTGGAATCATTCTGGGAGTAGTTGAGATCACACTGGGATTATACTGGGATTACAGTGGGTGTGAATGGAACCTTACTGGGGGTTACTGGGAGCTCTGGTAACTGGGTCTATGCTGGAGGCAACTGGAATCATACTGGGAATGACTTGGATTATAGTGGGAATAACTGGGATTATACTGGAATCATACTGAGAGTATCTGGGATCACACTGGGATTGTACTGGGATAGACTGGGATTACAGTGGTAGTGACTGGAACCATACTGGGAGTAGCTGGGATCACACTGGGATTGTACTGGGATAGACTGGGATTACAGTGGTAGTGACTGGAACCATACTGGGAGTAGCTGGGATCACACTGGGATTGTACTGGGATAGACTGGGATTACAGTGGTAGTGACTGGAACCATACTGGGAGTAGCTGGGATCCACTGGAAGACACTAGAACCATGCTGGGGGGACTGGGATCACAACTGGGGCAACTGGGATCACTCTGGGAGTGACTGGGATTATAGTGGGAGTGACTGGAACCGTACTGGGAGTAGCTGGGATCACAGTGGGAGTAACTAGGATCACACTGGGATTGTACTGGGATAGACTGGGATTACAGTGGGTGGGAAGTAGAACCTTACTGGGGGTTACTGGGAGCTCCTGAGCCCTTGCTGGGAGCCAGTCTGGGACACACTGGGAGCAACTGGGACCAACTGGAAGGCACTGGAAGAACCCCTGTCCTGTTTTCCCCATGCAGATGCAGGAGGGGAAGATCATGGAGCGGCGGAAGAAGATCGCGCTGGAGCTCTCGGAGCTGGTCGTCTACTGCCGCCCGGTGCCATTCGACGAGGACAGTAAGAGCCGGAAAAGCGGGATGTGGGACGGGATGAGCGCGGGACGAGGCGGGCGGTGGAACCGACGTCCTCCACCGATGGTCCCCTCGGCTCTTCCAGAGATCGGCACGGACAAGGCGTGTTACCGGGACATGTCGTCCTTCCCGGAGACCAAGGCGGAGAAATACGCCAACCGCAGCAAGGGCAAGAAGTTCCTGCAGTACAACCGGCGCCAGCTGAGCCGGATCTATCCCAAGGGACAGCGCCTGGACTCCTCCAACTACGACCCGCTGCCCATGTGGATCTGCGGGAGCCAACTCGTGGCCCTCAACTTCCAGACGCCCGGTAAATCCTGATCCAGGGGCGGTGTTGGGAACGACCCTGTAGGTTGACCCCAAAATTTCCATCCCTGGTGGTTCTGGCCCAGGTCTTGTTGTTGGAGGTGGTTTGGGTGAGCTCTCCAACCTTGATCCTGATGGGGACATAGGAAGTGGTTTGGGTCATCCCTCCAGCCTTGGTCCTCCTCCTGATGGGGACACAGGAGATGGTTTGGGTGATCTTTCCAACCTTGGTCCTGATGGGGACACAGGAGATGGTTTGGGTGATCTTTCCAATCTTGGTCCTGATGGGGACACAGGAGATGGTTTGGGTGATCTCTCCAACCTTGGTCCTCATCCTGATGGGATCATTGTCTCCCATGGCTCTTCCCTGGGTCTTGTTGGAAGTGGTTTGGATGAGCTCTCCAACCTTTGTCCTCATCCTGATGGGGACACAGGAGGTGGTTTGGATGAGCTCTCCAACCTTTGTCCTCATCCTGATGGGATCATCATCCCCAGTGGCTCTGCCCCAGGTCTTTTTGGAGGTGGTTGGAATGATTTCTCCGACTTTTCCCCTCATCCTGATGGAGACAAAGGAGGTGGTTTGGATGATCTCTCCAACCTTGGTCCTGATGAGGACACAGGAGATGGTTTGGATGATCTCTCCAACCTTGGTCCTGATGGGGACACAGGAGATGGTTTGGATGATCTCTCCAACCTATCCCTCATCCCAATGTGCACCTCTCCATACAATCCTTGGGCCCTTCATGCAAAAACTGGCTTCATCCCTGCTCCAACCAGAGTTGGGGGCTCCTAGTTGGGTTTGCCAAGGCAGGACCTTCTGCCCAAGGACCTCGGGGAGGCCCCGGCGCCCCAGGGCTCAGCTCTGCTCTGTCCCGCGGCCGCAGACAAACCGATGCAGCTGAACCAGGCGCTCTTCATGCTCGGGGGCCGCAGCGGGTACGTCCTGCAGCCCGACATCATGAGGGACGAGACCTTCGACCCCTTCGACAAGAACAGCCTGAAGATCGTGGAGCCCATCACGGTCCAGCTGCAGGCAAGTGGGCGAGGACCACCTGGAGGTGGCCACTGCCGAGGTGGGGACTTGTTCCTTCAGTTTTGGGTCGGCCTGGCGTGGGTTTTACGTGTTCCAGCCGCGTGGGGTTGGTTACTCTTGGAGGTCCTTCCTCACGCTCCTGCTCCTCCCGTTCCTCCCACAGATCCTGGGCGCCCGGCACCTGCCCAAGAACGGGAGGAGCATTGTGTGCCCCTTCGTGGAGGTGGAGGTTTGCGGCTCCGAGTACGACAACAGCAAGAACAAGACGGATGTCGTAGGTGAGGGACCGTGGGGATGATGTTCCCGCTCCCGGGACGCCGACACGACCCTGACTGTGCCCGTGAGGGGACGTGTGGGTGCCGGTGCCGTGTGGGTGATGTCCGTGTGTCCGGCCCGGCTCCGACCCTTCCCGCTCTCCCCCGCAGCCGACAACGGCTTCAACCCCGTGTGGCTCTTCAAGCAGTTTGTCTTCGACATCAACAACCCCGAGTTCGCCTTCCTGCGCTTCGTGGTGTATGAGGAGGACATGTTCAGTGACCCCAACTTCTTGGCACAGGCCACCTTCCCTGTCAAGGGCCTCAAAACAGGTATGGTCCTCCCACCATCATCGTCATCTTCTCCGGCAGAGTCATGGAATCGTAGAAGGGTTTGGGTTGGAAGGGACCTTTAAAGGTCAGTTAGTCCAAACCTTTGCAATCATCTCCATCGTAAAGTCGTGGAATCGTAGAAGGGTTTGGGTTGGAAGGGACCTTTAAAGGTCAACTAGTCCAAACCTGTGCAATCATCTCCATCATAAAGTCATGGAATCATTGAAGGGGTTGGGTTGGAAAGGACTTTTAATGGTCAGATAGTCCAAACCCTTGCAATCATCTCCATCATCATCATCATCATCTCCATCATCAGGTTATGAAATCATAGAAGGGTTTGGGTTGGAAGGGAGCTTTGAAGGTCATCGGGTCCAACCCCCCTGCAATCATCATCTCCATCAGAGAGTCATGGAGTCAGAGAAGGGGTTGGTTTGGAAAGGACCGTTATAGGTCAACTAGTCCAAACCCTTGCAGTCATCATCATCATCATCATCATCATCATCATCATCATCATCATCATCATCATCATCATTATCATCATCATCATCATCATCTCCATCACAGAGTCATGGAATCATAAAAGGGTTTGGGTTGGAAGGGACCTTCAAAGGTCAACTAGTCCAAACCCTTGCAATAATCATCATCATCACAGATCATGGAATCCTAGAAGGGTTTGAGTTGGAAGGGACCTTTACAGGTCAACTCGTCCAAACCCTTGCAATCATCATCATCATCATCATCATCATCATCATCATCATCTCCATCACAATCATGGAATCATAGAAGGGTTTGGGTTGGAAGGGACCTTTACAGGTCAACTCGTCCAAACCCTTGCAATCATCTCCATCATCATCATCATGTCCATCATAGAATGATGGAATCATAGAAGGGTTTGGGTTGGAAGGGACCTTCAAAAGTCAACTAGTCCAAACCCTTGCAATAATCATCATCATCACAGATCATGGAATCATAGAAGGGTTTGGGTTGGAAGGGACCTTTACAGGTCAACTAGTCCAAACCCTTGCAATCACCATCATCATCATCATCCTCCTCTCCATCACAGAGTCATGGAATCATAGAAGGGTTTGGGTTGGAAAGGACCTTCAAAGGTCAACTAGTCCAAACCCTTGCAATAATCATCATCATTATCACAGATCATGGAATCATAGAAGGGTTTGGGTTGGAAGGGATCTTTAAAGGTCAAGTCCAAACCCTTGCAATCATCATCCTCCTCATCATCATCATCTCTCGGGGTGCTGGCCATGGTGAGGGGCTCGGTCCCTGCCGTGGCACTGAGCTCTGTCGTGGTGTTGTGCCCAGGCTACCGGTCGGTGCCGTTGAAGAACAGCTACACCGAGGACCTGGAACTCGCCTCCCTCCTCATCCACATCGAGATCATCAACGCCAAGGCAGGTGGCCCCGTCGCCTCCGTTTCCCCGACCCGAACGAGGAGGGTCATCTCCTCAGGGCGGGGGGGGGGTGCCCTGCCCGTCCCCCCACACTCACCCCTTTGTTTTGGGGCAGGAGGAAGACGAGGAGAACCTCTACTCGTCCATCCAGCAGCTGCGGGACCGCGCCAGCGAGCTCTCCAGCCAGGTCTCCAGCTACGAGCGCACCAACGGCTGCGACTCCCGCTACCAGCAGCGCCTGGACGAGCTCCGGGCGGCCCAGGAGCGGCTCATGGAGCTCACCGAGGTCCGCAACCGCAAGTGAGTGCGTCCCCTGCCCGTGCCTTTGGGTGCTCCCTCTGTGGATTGGAACACAGGTCCTGTGAGGAGAGGCTGAGGGAGTTGGGGGGGCTCAGCCTGGAGAAGAGGAGGCTCAGGGGAGACTTCCTCACTCTCTGCAACTCCCTGCCAGGAGGGGGGAGCCGGGTGAGGGTTGGTCTCTTCTCCCAGGCAGTGATTGGTAAGACAAGAGGGCACGGCCTCAAGCTGTGCCAGGGGAGGTTTAAGTTGGATATTGGGAAGAAATTCTTTCCAGAGACAATAATCAGCCATTGGAATGGGCTGCCCAGGGAGGGGGGGGGATTCTCCGTCCCTGGAGGTGTTGAAGGTGAGACTGGATGTGGCATCAGTGCCATGGGCTGGGAACCACGGCGGGGTTGGATCAAGGGTTGGACTTGACGATCTCAGAGGTGCTTTCCAAGCCGGCTGATTCTGTGATTCTTTGATTCCATGATTCGAAAGCCACCCCTCTGCTCCCCTCCAGGTTGATGGAGAAGAAGAAGAGGGACCGGCAGATGGTCACCAAGCGCAGCTGAGCGGGAGGGCCGCGAGCGCGGGAGCTCCCCGGCCACCTCCTCTCCTGCCGCACGGGGAGATGGGGTGGCCACAGCTGGTCCCCTGCCCGTGGTCGGGACTGGGTGACCTCCAGCTTTCATCCCACGTCCCCTGGGGCTCGTGGCCACGTCCCTGTCCCCACGGGGTGGCCGCCGTGGCTCCTCTTCCCCCTCCATCCTCCAACAGGGAAACTGAGGCACGGGGGCCCAGCCGGGCCGGGATGGGGCGGGACCGGCCACCTCCATCCTGGGGACGGGTGACAGGAGGGGCTGGCAGTGAAACCCCAGGGTGGGGACACAGGGGACACTCTGGGGGGGGTCAGGGGGATGTTTTGTCCCCCCCCTATAAATATCTGTATTTTCTTCTTTTATCCAGCCTGTACATACGGCGGGGGGGGGGAGGGGTGTCTGGACCAGCCACAGTATTAGGGCACAAGGGGGGGGGACCCCAAAATGTCCGGAGATGTCCCAGCAAGGGAGCAGGGGACGAGTCTGGGGGTGTCCCACAGGGCAGGGCAGTGACAAGGTGCCCTGAGGTAGATACGGGCACCCCGGTGGTCCCGGAGGGGACAGGGATGGCACCGAGGAGACCCAGTGTTGTCACCAAACCCTGGGAGTGGGGACAGATCCTGCCAGTGAAGCCCATGGAGGTGGTGGCCGGCCCGGCGGTGGCTGGGGACATCTTGGGGTGTCCCCCGGGGTCGGGGTGTCCCGGGGGGGGACCTGTGTATTCTTTGTATGAAAATAAATCTATTTAGCCAATATTTATACCTCTGACCTGCTGCCCTGACCTGCTGTCCCCTCCCCGATGTCCCTGCGGTGGGTGATGGCCCCAGGGGGGTCCCAGATCCGGGGTGTCACCCTTGTCCCCCCCCGACGTGTCCTGGAAGTGGTGGGGACACTCAGGCAGGGGTGGTGCTGTGGCAGGGCCACTCAGGGAGGGGACACGGGACACAGGGGACATGGGACAGAGGGCACAGGGGACACGGGACATGGGACAGAGGGCACAGGACCAGGGGGACACAGGGGACACGGGACA